GAACGTTTTCAAAAATCAAGAGGACATGAATGTTTGTCTCAGAAAATATGTAAAATGTTTAGTTTGCCTATTTATTTTCTGGCCTCGAGACTAACAGGTGCTGTAGTCTCAATGGAAAGAAGGTAACTTGTTCTTTTGTTTTTAGGCAACAGTTTTTCTCTTTTTGTAAGTTGAGATTGTTGATTGTATATTATCATTTAGGTATTTTTGGCTACAATTTTAGTTATCTGCGTGATTATTAAGGTACCAAAGTTTTCTCTTTGCTATGTGATTAGTGTAAAGATTAATCAAGATAAATAGGTTTTGAGGCTTGGGTATTCAATAATGGATGGTGTTTGGTATGAAGGGAGCGAAAATTCTAGTCATTTCGATGGATATATACTGCAATAAAATGTCTTTCTGTAGAAGGGTGTCATGTCCTTAGCAGGTTAAGGTCTTTTGCAAGCCCAAATGTGAAAGCTTGTAATGAAAGCTACCCCATCTTATTAGGTAGTTTGAAGCATTGATGGTTGTCTCATATGCCAAAAGTTTGAGATAAAATTGACAACGAAGACGACGATGATGATGATGACACTACATTGAAACTTGCTAAACTAAATGGAGGAATGCTATAAGAATTTAAAATTTGATTGAAATGTAAAGAATACCGTTCTTGGCTCTCTGCCTTGGACTAGCAAATGTGGAATGAGGCCAAATATGCAATAAGATTTTTTATTAGATTTTTTATTAGATTTTTTTCTTCTTTTTTTCATCTAAAAATATATAAGAATAGGGTTGATTCACTTTTTAGATTGGTAGATGCATGTCTTTTTGATGATGCTAGATAATGGATGACTCGCAGCATATACTTGAACAGCCAAGTTAAAAAAGGGAAAGGTTGGAGTTGAGCTTATTGTCGATGTGCGCTTATTGAAGAATTTTTGTCGGTGTATTAGTGATGTGCACTTATTGAAGCTGAAAACGACAACAAATAAATGAATAAATAAATAAACATGTTAGTTTCAACCTCTTAGGTGCCGCGCGGAACTTCAAAAGAGTAAAGAGGTGGTTTGGACTTCTAAAATGAGGTGGGACTCATTTCTGAGGTTCTAAGATAGTCACAGGGTGGATCCTAAGGCTAGACCCTAAATCCTAAGAAGAAAATTAAACCTCACTAAAAATAAGGTCAACAAACCTAAACTTCAATTTTTACGTATGTGTCATTTTATTGATGCGTGAAAAGATTTATTTCACTTTTTAAAAGTTAAAATAGTGATATTTTTAATGTAATATATTTTTGTGCTGTAAATGTAAAAAATAAAGTTTAGGTGTTAGGTATGCAAATACATAAGAACAGGGTGGCTTGTCTGTAAATGCCCCTAACAATAAATGTTGTGCTTAGAGAGGATACTTTTAAAAATAAAGTTTATTGTAGATGCCCAAGAATGAACTCCCTAGGACTTTGATACATTGTAGAGAACACGAGCTTGATGGAATTCTTCTTATCGTTGAACGTATTTGATAGAGGACAATATATAGACTGGCCTAGAAAAGAAATAAAGAAGCTCGTCCACTAAAATATGAAAATAGCTATTCAAACATACAAATATTTATAGTTTATAATCTTGACCTTCCAAAAATGATTTCGACATGTCTTCCTTAACATGATCTGTGGGATCATGCTCTTCATTTATCGAAATGAATTAGTGGGTTCATAAGTTAATTCATTTGGATGCATATGTGGGATCATAAATTCCTTCTCTGAATTGAATGTATGATATTTTAATTTTCTTATTTAGCATGAATCCGCGGGCTTGAAAACCATTAATGTTGTAGAAGCTTGCCTTCCAAACTGCATTGTCATTTTACTTCCATTCGTTATCTAATTTTGCATTTCTATATTATGTCCAAGCACGGCTGTGGTTAATATATTAGTTTCATTTTTTAGAAGAGTTGGTCAAGTGATTGCCCTTTTTTTTATCTAAAGCAAAGGCTCAATGTTGGATCATTGCAAAAAATAATCTTATTTCTTACCATGGAAGATTTGTTCAAACTTCTTTTGTCGTTCAACTGTTCCATGGACTATTTACTGAATTGTGATTTCGCTCTTGTTTTTCTTACTTACAATAAAATAAACCGTGCATTAGTCCGTGCTTTGTTTGTTGTGCTCTCTTTTTCTGCAAAATTTATTGTTGAGAGAATCCAAGTCAGACTAACCTATTATTTTCTCTCCTTGCAGGGCATTGAACTCACAAACCCACAATCCCTTGGTAATCTTCTAGGGAGTGGTACTCAAAGCACCTATTTCTCTGAAGTTGGAACGTTTTCAAAAATCAAGAGGACATGAATGTTTGTCTCAGAAAATATGTAAAATGTTTAGTTTGCCTATTTATTTTCTGGCCTCGAGACTAACAGGTGCTGTAGTCTCAATGGAAAGAAGGTAACTTGTTCTTTTGTTTTTAGGCAACAGTTTTTCTCTTTTTGTAAGTTGAGATTGTTCATTTTATATTATCATTTCGGTATTTTTGGCTACAATTTTAGCTATCTGTGTGATTATTAAGGTACCAAAGTTTTCTCTTTGCTATGTGATTAGTGTAAAGATTAATCACGATAAATAAGTTATGAGGCTTGGGTATTCAATAATGGATGGTGTGTGGTATGAAGGGAGCGAAAATTCTAGTCATTTCGATGGATATATATTGCAATAAAATGTCGAACGAGACGAATCCTTTTTGTGGCATTTCTTTCTGTAGAAGGGTGTCATGTCCTTAGCAGGTTAAGGTCTTTTGCACGCACAAATGTGAAAGCTTGTAGTGAAGGCTACCCCATCTTATTAGGTAGTTTGAAGCATTGATGGTTGTCTCATATGCCAAAAGTTTGAGATAATATTGACGAGGAAGACGACGATGATGATGATGACGCTACATTGAAACTTGCTAAACTAAATGGAGGAATGCTATAAGAATTTAAAATTTGGTTGAAATGTAAAGAATACCGTTCTTGGCTCTCTGCCTTGGACTAGCAAATGTGGAATGAGGCCAAATATGCAATTTCATTCTATGTTAAAGATTTTTTATTAGATTTTTGTCTTCTTTTTTTCATCTAAAAATATATAAGAATAGGGTTGATTCACTTTTTAGATTGGTAGATGCATGTCTTTTTGATGAAGCTAGATAATGGGTGACTCGCCGCATATACTTGAACAGCCAAGTTAAAAAAACGAAAGGTTGGAGTTGAGCTTATTGTCGATGTGCGCTTATTGAAGAATTTTTGTCGGTGTATTAGTGATGTGCACTTATTGAAGCTGAAAACGGCAACAAATAAATGAATAAATAAATAAAAAAGGATTTATTTGCTTTTATTTTTGGATAGAAAAGTCATAGCAACAATTTGCTGGTATCTCTAAAATAACTGACTGTAAGAATGGATGAACTCCTGAAGGGCTGCAGAACCCGGATGAAAATTTTTGAAACTTTTTGGTTTGGTTTCAGGAGATGGATTAATTTAATCATTTTTTATGAGACGCTTAGGTAGGCTTATTTAGATTTGAGGTTGAGATTTATTATGTGTGTATATCATCATAATCAATCACTGAGATCACTTGGGTTAAAAGTTTTAGGTCCATAGATGATTGAGTAGGGGGATGATTATTGGGGACAGAGGAGAACAATTTTGATTTTATGATTGCCATTCTTAGCTCATCAATTTACTCAATTCATTAATGTCAATGGGCTTCTACATGTACTTTGTACTGTTAAGAACCTGATTAGGAATCATATGTTTTCTCATCTTAGGTACATTCTCAAAATATTGAAGTAGAGGTGTCTGCTGAAGACATTCTTTTGAGACTGAATTCGACTTGATTGTTAATGTATCGTCGCGTGTTAACCCAAACTGTTAAGAACCTGATTAGGAATCATATGTTTTCTTATCTTAGGTACATTCTCAAAATATTGAATAGAGGTGTCTACTGAAGACATTCTTTTGAGATTGAATTTGACTTGATTGTTAATTTATCGTCGCTTGTTAACCCAGCATAACCCTACTTGGCGGTGGTTCATATTATGTTGAGATGTATGTACAAGAGAGCAACATCCATTCATATAATTAGCCATGATAAAACTTGTTCTCCTCACAAGTCTATCTTATATTAGAATAATGACTCAACTCTTTCGTATATCGAGTTTATGATTAAACATGCAACTCTGAACTACTGTAAATTTATATAAAAAGATTGGAAGATATTATTATACTAGATTGTGATGTATAACATGTCAAATATTAAGTATATGTCACTTGAGATTAAAAATAATTGGGAAATTTTCATACGTAGCAAACAATTCTTATGTATTTACATGTCTCACACCTAAACTTTCATATTTACATTCATAAAAGAATTTTATTTATGAGAGTTCTAGAGCTTTGCCTACCAGCCCTTGACATGTACTGTTAACAACAAGCATCGATGCCTGTAGATGTCTATCATTATTCACTGTTAACACCCTTCTTAGTTCGCCATTGATGTCTGCCATGAAATGGCATCGATTTCCACCATCAATTGTCGTTCTGTGTTGTATGGGCATCAACATCCATCATTCGCTGTTATTCACTGCTGACTAATGCCATTCCCATTATCTTACCCTATAATCATATGCATTCTTGAAGACAAAGAATGACATATTTGAAATTTTATCATTTAGAGGTTTTTTAATTTAAAAAAATCTGCATTTTGCGTGCTGCAGTACCGTATCTATGTATGAGATTTCATGTAACACTAAAATAACACTTTACTGCAAGAACATTTTAGGACACAATAATCATATATGAAGTCAAAGTATAGAATATTTTTGAAATAAGTGTGATAGTTTATGATCTTGTTCTTCAAACTTTGTTAGTATGGGTTGGGGTTAAGAATTGAGCTATGAGAAACTTAAAGAGAGTATTCCCTTCTATATTTTAAATCAAAATTAAGCCATGATATCCTAACGTAATTTTCTTAAAAAATAATTCGTCAATTCCTCGAACTTAATCTCATTTTATTGTCCCCCCAATTTCATCTTCTCACATTGCACTCAGGAGGCATCACATGAAACCTCTTCGAATCATTACAATATGAATAGAACATAAACTGACTCCTCGCCCATCCCAAACCCGATTGTTGGTCCTGAGACAACTTGGCAAACGGCTGACCATCTATTGGATAAATACGCGTATCAGGTTGGGTTCGGTTCGACACAGAACCCTCTAGCTCAAACTCCTTGAACGACGCCACAAATGGAGCATAGTTGTAGTTGATTGGCTTATTGCCTCCATGTGTTGCCCAATCTGATCCATCCCATATGGTCGAATAGAGAGACATTGGCTTTGATGGATAGGCGCTCATGGCTTCGTTGTGGATCACTTCTCTCACTGGAATATTATCAACCAGAAACCTGCATATATTTTATATGAAAGGTTTACATGCATATCACTCAATTTTTATGCATTTACATATCTAACACCTAAGCTTCAATTTTTACGCGCATGCCACCTTGCTTGTGCATGAAGAGGTGTATAAAGGAGAATTTACATACATACCACAAAATTCCAATTTATTTACATATCTAAGGGAATTTATACCACATAATTCTTATGTTTTTACATAAGTACACCTAAATTTTACTTTTTACATTTATAAAACTCAAATCTTGCATATCACATAAAAAATACCACTAAGAACCCGTTTGGGGCAGCTTCTAGGCGGATTTTTTTTAAAACGCCGTCTAACCGTTTGGTTTGCGCATTTTTGAAAACGTTATCTGTCGTGTTTGGGTTTTTTACACTAAACACAGACCGCGGGTCGACCCCTGCAGTCGACCCGCGGGCCGCGTTTCAGGATAATTTGCTTATCCTGAATGCACAAGCTGTCCCAAATAGACCCTAAATATATCTTTTCATACGTAGTTAGAGTGGTGTGTGTGTGTGTGTATGTCAAATTTGAAATTTAGCAGTCAGATATGTAAATACATAAGAATTGACTGGTATGCATGTAAATCTTCCTTGATATTGTAATTAGTTGTATATTTTGAAAACTAGTTTAATTTAGAACGAATAAATATATACATGGGGAAGGACTTACACGATGTGATGGTCATTCCACAAGATGCTGTACTGGTGGAAATCTTCAGTAGGATCAAACCAGAGATAGAACTTCTCCTCACGGCCGGTGCTAACGCTGCCATTGGCGTAGATGTTGGTTTGGAGCACCCATTGCTTCTGCTTCTCATGTCCGAGCAGCTCGAAGTCTATCTCGTCGTGGTTTTTACTGAATACTTGGTTGTTTGACATCTGATAGGTGAGCCAAAAGACCCAATTATTTGAAGAATTTATGTCTTTTTTTTTTTAAAATTTTTCGAAGTGTTATAACCTTTGGATCATGGCAACTTTATCACTATTTTTATGCGTGTGAGATTTTATCATAACATAATATAACTCACATCTTTATATCGCTCTAAATGTTCTAACATGTTCAAACTTGAAATGTTATTACACTAGAAATAACTTCTTGGGATTCTTGGCCATATTATCTCTCCCACAACAAAGCCTTGGGTGAATTAAAAACCATGCATCATGGAATAAGAAGAAATAAGTTATGATATTTGTCATAGTAGATGCATGAAACTCATCTATTCTATTCTTTGCCTCTAATAAGAACAAAAATGTATCATCAAACTCCTGATGAAATAAAAAAGGTCTATTTTTACACATGCATGTATGAAAAGAAGTCCTTGATGTTTTCATCTTCTAAAGTTCAGTAAAATATTTTATCTTTTGCATAAACTTGTTTGACTTGTAATTGTATTCTTTGATGCATTATTCTTCATCTTCATTTAATTTTTCTTGACATTCCGGCATGCTCCCTTTGACAGCATCCATCATTATAAAGGAGAGCACATGACTGCCTTCTCCTTGATGAATCTTTGGTTTGAAAATTCTTATAATTAAATTAGTTGTTAAGCATAGGTTATGGGTGTTAAAATCAGGGGTAAAATCACTAAATATTTGATTTTTTTAGGTATTGGGCAAAAGGTTATAACACCTAAATTTTTATATTTATGTTTATAACACTTTGGGTATTTGGTGTCATAAATTTATCCATGAAAGATTGTACTTCACTTCTTAAATACAAAAGTGCTCTTTTTGATGTCATTTTAAGGATTTGAGTGATATGCATGTAAATATGAAAGTTTGGGTGTTAAATACACAACAATTGCATGGTATGTATGTAAATGGGGTATGTATATGTGTATGTGTGTTTTATATTGTTTTACTGGTACAAAATAACAGTAAAGTGAGTGGAAAAATTATTACGTGCGGACTTCTAGATGTACAAACAACAATGGATAGAAAGATCATGTTATTATAACTTCACTTTTATGTGACGTGGTTTTCCCATCCATCTTTGTTATTATGTGATGTTCGTGCATAATAATCTCTCACAGGGTGCGCGAGAAAAAACTCACATAAAAGGCCACCACAACTCCAGCCGTGAAACCAGAAGGAAGCTTGATGGCAGCACTGAAAAAACCATGATAATATACATCCTTCGACCTATAACCCGACCCTATACATTCAAAAAACCAACATCAAAACAACAAACATATTCCCCATTCAATTAAAAAAAAGAAAATAAAAACATTAATCTATCAGCACCACAAACCTGAAGACTTATCAAGCAGGAGATTTACAGCAGAGCCATTATTCACCTTCTGCACATTCTTCCCCCCATAAAAATCTAAGAACTTGTCCTCATACCCATGTCGTGGGAAGAGCTCCGTCAGCTTCGTAGTGCTCGGCGGCGTTAGCCCGTGACGCACCGACTCTGCACAAATTACACAACAAACAACCATTTTTGACAACAGCCACAGCTTCTGCTGCTTGCTGTAATTGCAGACTTCCATATTGTCTCACTGTTTTTTGCTTTTTTGGCTTCAAATGATAACTCAAATGATAACTAAACAGCCCATCTATTAGTCTATATATATATGTGTGTAGGTATTTGCTTGCATACTGCTTAATTCCTGTGCATATACATGTCCAATGAGTCATTTTGAAATTGTGGAATGATTATATGACAAAAAGGATGAGAAGAAGGTGCGGAGGTGATAGGCTGAAACCACTTTAGGACGAAGAAGAGTGGGCCAAAGTGTTCATATTTAATATGATACAGCTGGGGATGCCTTCTAAGATACAGCTGCAAACCTCATTGGAGACTTCAGATGTCATTTAATTTGTCTGTTTGGAAGATTAACTTGCACACCACTCACTTATTATGTATTTATATATTTGCCTATATGCCATATTGAGCAAATACTATGTGCAGCAACTGCATGTCTGGGTGATGGTCTGGATGGGCCGCCTTGCGATACACGGAAGCATGGCCGCATCATGACTACTCCAGAAGTGTAGTCCGGATGGGCCACCTTGCGATACACTACTAGTTGTGATGTGAAATTGTGAAATGATGAAAAATTTGGATGGTATAAATATAAAAAGGTAATGCTTAGATGTTAGGTCAGTAAATAGATAGGAATTGGGTGGGTATGTATGTAAATGCTGACAAAGATGGAACTTCTGAGAAAAGCAAAAAACAGACTCCTAACGTAGCTCTATGTGCGGCGCAGGGTATTTCTGAATTATTTTCATATTATTTCTGGGTTATTTTTCATAATTCGGAAATAATCCAGCAATAACCCACGGTCTTTATTTTTGGGTTATTTCTAGATTATTTCGGTATTATTGAAAAATAACCCAGAAATTACCTGAAAATAACTCAGGAATAACTTGCATTGCACGTAGAGGTACGTCAGGTGTCCGGACAGAAA